TTATATGAAGTTATAGCCAATTTTTTAAAGCTGCGCAGAGTCTCCTGTGAAAATTTCTAGATTTTCTAACAAATTGAAATTATGAAACTTTTGTTAACAAAATTCACTTTCTTGACTCAAATTCAACCATTAAAACAATCAAGAATCAAAGGTAAGTAAGTTCACATAAGGGTTATAAAGACAAGTAAAATTTCGGGGTCTCACAGCTCTCATATCAGGGAAAGACTATTGATATAAAATTTACAGACTTTCTGGTGTTTCGGTTTTAGGAGGATTGTCTCAAAGGAACAATGGTACCATTGGTAACTCTTTACACAGCCATGAATGACAATCCAATGAAAATTTCCTTATACAATGGTAATGAAACTGTTTACCTCATAGTCTTAAAATACATGAAAATAGAAATGTGTATTTTGTTACCTTTTCAGCCCAAAAAAAAGTGTATTTTGTTGCCTAATTTTTGCCTATTTTTTAGAAATAAAATTTGTATTAAAACATATCATGTAGACTGGGCTCCTTTTGAGAGTACTCCTCTTAAACAGGTTGTACAGATTCACCGAATACGTTTGCTAAATATATGCGAAATTTTTTATAACATAGAAATTAGCTAAAAACTGCTTGACTTAGTTACTTTTTCGTCCACCAACTTGTTTTTCAATCCAGATGGTGCCCGATGAATTTTCTTAAATTTTATAAGTGGGAGGTTTTGAATATTGACTTTCTATTTACAATCTCTTTCACTTTGTTGTTCAATCAAACTCTTCCTTAGGCGATGGCTTTGACACTCTCTTTTGTTTTTGTTTAAATAGGATTATAAGAGCTATCGACAATGGAAGTGATACAAACAAATCACATTTCAAACTAACTCATAAATGGTAGGAATTACCACTCAATATAACTGCATGATACTAATCCATGAGAGACAAAACTCACATTAGTGGACATTTTTATTCTTTGACTCTAATTTCATTTTTTGAGTTTTTTTCACTTATTTCAATGGATGACTAGTAAACATGTTATGGTAGTAGCATAGCTTATTCACAAAAATTATCTATACATGTTTTAAGCCAAAATTACGGTACTTTTGGATGTAAAAATAATTGAAGTAAATTTGAACATATCCACTCAAAGAAAAGAGACAGATTGGAACATAAAAATTTGAGGTGTGTTTGATAAAACTGAAGTTTGAAAACTAAATTCATTAAATTATTAAATTGTTAAGTACTAAATTTGATACATTTGAATATATATTAAGTGATAAGTTAATAGCTTATTACTTATTTTTGGAAGCAAATTTTGTTTAGAAAATTCAATGCTATTTAATTAATTCAATTGCTCAATTTTTATTTATCAAACAAACATATTAAAATATGAATCTATTAAATTTAAGTGCTAAATTGAGTTATTAAAAAGAGCAATACGTACACTATAACTTAAGATTATAGCAAATGTATTAATTGCCTAGTCCTTATCAGAATTTTTTATTTTTCTCAAACAGGTTGATATATTTACTTTAGTGGTTTTTGCATTGCTTAGAAATGCAAGGGGAAGAAACTATGACTTTGTTGATTTTGAGAAATTCAATACAAATGAAACTTGGATTTTAGAAGCAATGTTTTGAAAATCGGATCGGACCAGTTGAACCGCGAACCGGTCATGCCTCCTATCCGATTCAATTAAAAAATCAAAGAATTAATTGAATCGGTTGAACTGGTAAAAATCAGGAGCTTCAACTGGTTGTCATTTAGTTTTTATTTTATAAAATAAATATTATAGTTTTATTCTTAATACTAAAATGAATAAAAAATTATGAAATCTTTGAAACTGATCGAATCGTGAACCGAAAGGTTTTCCGATTTAAAAACATTGTTTAGAAGAAGAACCATTGTAGCTGAATTGGAAACTTGTATGAACGAATTGGTAGCATGTGCCATCCAAAGCAATTCACAAAATAGTAAGCAACTAGATATCTTTATTTGCCTAATCTATTTATTTAATTATTGCTGCGTATGAGTTAAAATATGTCTATCTTTTGTTTGAACTTATGGTGGTCATAAATTTGGTAATAGTTGGGAACCATGCAAATGAATAATTCGAAAAATATGTTATTGCTTGTTTAGTTTGTTGTCCTTGTTTTTTTTGCTTAATGACTGAAAGTCTAAAAACTGCGAGTCTGGATTCTAGAACTCTTCTTTTATGTTAACATAACAGGTTGAACTGGAAGCCTAAAGCACCTTTATTTTTTATTTTTTAACATTTGGGACATGTGCTATATCATTTGGCGATGAAGCAATATAACTTTAAACAATTGGGGTTCACTGCAGCGGTTGACTGAAGTTCACAAGAGTAGTTTTTATTTTTACTAATTTGTACAATTTTAATTATTAATAATACAAATGCTTAATCATATTATTTTATTCATGTTTGAACTTTGGGTTAATTACATTTACCTCCCCTGAGGTTTGATCATATTACCAATCAATCCCTATAATTTATCCAAATAACGGTCTTATCCTTTGAATGATCAAACATTTAACAAAAACCCCCTTAATAAAATGCCCTTATTGAGGTCATGTTGCATTAAAAAAAGAACATATTTTTATTTTATTAACCCTGAAGCAATCCAAAAAAATAGAAAAAAGTTTTTGCTTATTATTTTATAAAAACCACATCTTTGCTTCCATAAATAGTTTTGAATCAATAATTATTTTAAATCTTAAAAATGAATATTAAAAATTAGATAAATTGAAAGAAAAATTAAAAAAGAAGAAATTATTTTAATTCCTGGAGTATGGTTCAAATTGAGGAAAACATGCATTGTGCTCTCTGCAACATGCCTTGAACCACAAATTCGAACCATACTTGAGGATTTAAAATAATTGCTTCTTTTTTATTTTTCTTTCAATTTATCTAATTTTTAATATTCATTTTTAAGATTTAAAATAATTATTGATTCAAAACTATTTATGGAAGCAAAGATATGGTTTTTATAAAATAATAAGCAAAAATTTTTTTCTATTTTTTTGGATTGCTTCAGGATTAATAAAATAAAAATATGTTCTTTTCTTAATGCAACATGGCCTCAATAAGGGCATTTTCGGCATTAAGGGGGGTTTTTGTTAAATGTTTGATCATTCAAAGGGTGAAACCGTTATTTGAACAAATTACATGGATTGATTGGTAATATGGTCAAACCTCAGGGGAGGTAAATGTAATTAACCCTTGAACTTTACAATTCAACCATGCGACCCGTAGTTGAACTACTAACCCAATGACCTTGTCCTCTTGCCGGGTTGATGTCCGGACCGAATAGTTTTTGGAAAAAAAATTACTATAACACTTATTTAGGATGTGATATATATGAAATAAAAAAATAATTAAAAAAAATATAAAACGAATATTCATGAAAATTCAAAAATTTTCTTCAAAAAATCACAATCCAAACGAGGCCTTGATTTTTTTAACAAAAGTACTGCCCGCAAACTACCAATCCTAAGCTATAAACTGTAAACCCTTTACCCTATAGCGTATCAGTACACGAAAAAATGCAGTCTAGCAATTGCAGGTTATACAAATAAAAGCTCATCAAACTCTTATTGAAGAGCAGATGTCACGCTTGAAATTTCAACGTCAACCTAGAACCCGAATATATGACGATTTTGAGTTGTTTTGGTGAAGTTCAATAGAAAGGCAATTGAAACTCTTCTGATTTGGAATAAGTTGGTGAAGTTGAGCGTAGACATGCTTGAAATACCATCACGAGGCAGCTCCATTCGTGTCATGGAAGCTACCTGACAATTGGACGGATTGGATAAATTGATATTGAATTTTCACTTCAATGAGTTATACTCAATTCGTTCAATATTAGATTAGATTGATTTTGGATTGGATCATACTAGGTCAGGCTAAACCCATGACCCAAATATAACCCAACTTATTAATTTATACATTGTGATATATAAACTCTCTCTTGTACATTTACACACACAAAAAGATTTATTTCACATACATGAATATATTTTCACACACCAACACACTTTCACACACACAAACACACACTCACTTTTAAACTCATTAGAAGCACATCATAAATAGAATACTATTTTATATTACTTGTATTGCGTATTTTAAATAATAAATTGTACATTTAAATAGATTAGCTAAAAAATATTTGTTTGCTTTATATTTTTTAATACCACTAATTGATTAAAACTTATTTTTGTCACAAAATATTTAACACGTTTACTATTCATATATGCTGTATTGTATTTGTAATATTCTGTGTATTTAAATTATTGAATGTTAGATTATATTATGCTCGAAAATGTAATTAAGAGACATATAATCTGTTGTATTATAATATTGATGAGGAATTATTAACAATGAAATAAAACAAGTTAGAGAAAAGTAAAAGAATGCAATTAGAACAAATTTAAAATTCTATTATAGGTACATGAAATATTAACAAACAAAAGTAAGTAGCAATTGAAAAACAGTAATAAAAGAAAAAAGGGAGGAAAACAACATACTTTTAAAAGACATAATAAATTATTATAGATGTTGAGTAAGCTCATCTATTGTTGTAAAAGTAAAATAAACATGAATTTTTATTTCAAATTTCTTTTTTCTTTTAAATAAAAATTAAAAAAATTTATTGAAAATATATATATGAGAATTTTGAATATAAATTGATCAATGAATTATTACCACATATCTAAATATAAATGGTTGGATAAATGTGTCTTAAATATTGTATTTATTATTTTAAATTATTTTTAAACAAATTGGATATTAAATACCCAAATAAAAAACCCAACCCGTCCAATAAATAAGTTAAATTGTTCTTACCCAACTTAACAAAACTCATAACCCAACTGACCTACCTCATCCTTTAAAATTAATGGATGATTTGAGAGTTATTGGATTTTGAACTTTGTTGCCAGCTCTATTGACCACTATAGTGGCGTATACTACCGCACTCAATTACAGAGGAAATCTTAACTAAATATCTGAATTGCGATTTAAGAACTAGCGCTGCAAAATGGATCTACCTGCAAACAATTGTAAGCATCGAGGCAAATGATACGGTCCCGAGTTCCACTCCCATTTTCACAAAAAAAAAAAAAAAAAAAAAAAAAGAGCAATGAGTCAAATGATACAATTTATCACTTTTTCTTCCCTGCTTTACCTTCCTTCCTTCTTATTATCTCGTCAGCATATTTTACACCCTTACCTTTATATGGCTCTGGCGGCCTCCATTTCCTAATTGAAGCAGCAAATTGACCAATAGCAGATTTGTCAAATCCACCAACAATAACTCTGGTATTATCTTCAACTTTCACTTGCAGGCCGTCCGGGATTGTCATCCTGACTGGATGAGAGAATCCAAGACTAAGTACTATATCTTTTCCTTCAATTGTTGCACGATAACCCACACCTACCAATTGAAGCCTTTTCTCAAATCCTTTTGACACACCTACCACCATGTTGTCAGTAAGAGTCCTGACAAATGAAGTTGAACAGATTGTTGGAAACATGGAGAAAATTGTAGATAAGGCATTTCAACTAACACACGTCCTCAGTTTTTTCACTCAATGGAATATCTGAAGAAGAAAAAGATGTTATGGCTTCACACTAGCTGCAACACATAAATTTCAAGAAACAAGTTCAGCAGAAGATCCACATTTTATATTAAGATGGCTGAGTGCATACTTGGACCACAGCTGTTTTAGGACAAGTCAAACACAACCGGCCTAGGAGAGCATTCAATTGGGGGTGACCTGACACTATTAAGTAATAAAAATTCAAGTACTGACGACACCAAATACAGGTAAACCATGTCATTGCACATTTCTCCACCAATAGAGAAATTAATATGCTTCATTTAACATCCCAAAAATGTGCCTATACATTCTTGTCAGTATTTTCTGTCTGAGGAACTATCAGCAACATGGAGCATAGACATTAGGAGAATACAGAAAAGAATAAAGTGGGATAGTGGTTATCATATTAATGATAAGATATCTCAAACACCAAGTCACAACTGAATAATATATCTCTTCTTTCACAAATCCAATTTAATTGGAAAGCATAGGTGATTTCTCTATTCATTTTCTACATGCATTCATAGTTTCCAATTCCATTTCCACGGTCCCAAGTTTCCTACTGCTCTTCCCTTCTGGAAAAGAACCAGCTCCTCCTTTACCTCACTATTACGATCTTAAGGTCTAAAGACACGTTTCATTCAGCTCTCCAGGGAAATCTACATCACTCTTCAGGCAATCCCGACCACACCTCCAAGATTGAGACTCATGAAAAACCTTCCTTTCATTATGTGACCAAAATCATGACAGAACCATGAATTTCTCAACGAAAAACTTGAAAATACAAATTTGATGCAATAAAAGTTGAAATATCATGTTCCAAACTTCATGAAACCAAAGCAATATTTGATGCAGAACCATGAATTTCTTCTTCATGAAATCAAATACTACTCATAAGAAGAAATTCATGGTTCTAAACCCTAAACTATATAATATGACTGAAATTCAGAAAATCTCAATCAAAACAAATGACTGCATTAATAATAAACTGAAATAAAGACTGGTTTGGACTTGAACCAACTCCCAAGTATGCTCATCTCCTAAAGCATGCCAAACCAAATTCTGGACGTTGAAAACATCCTTGCCGCACCTGTTATAAACTTCTGTTGCTTACAGTACGGTTTTATAGCGTTGAAGATGGATATGAGATGGTCTGTATTGAGCTTGATGAAAAAGGGCTGTTGATTTGGACAAGTATTCGTAATTTTGAATCTTGTATAATTGTTCTTTCTTGTGAAAACTTGTGTTTCTTCAAGCATTTTTCTCAAAGAGTTATGGAGTTAGCTTTGATTAGTGCATTAAAACTCTTTACAATCATGTATTGAGCCAATTATATGCTCATTGTTCTTATGGTGAATGAATCTCTGGAATACCTTCTCCATAAGTACAACCTATAAAGGATGCCCAGTAATAGACACCACTCAATTGAAAGCGGAATTAGGTTTTCCTAAGAAACTTCCACTCCCTACAGTGCCGTGAAGGATTATTTTGTTTGGTGCAATTCATTGTTTTGAATGTGAATATATCAGGGTTTAATGTGAATAGAGCAACTTGTGTCTTTCAAAAGACTAAGAGTAGTGCAACAGACTTGCCCAATACATTAGACATTCTTGTTGGGAAGATTATCAATGACAAGCAAGCCATATAAAATTACCTTTTCTGTGATCTATAAGCCCGGCTCTCCAAACTTTCACCACTAATTCTAAAATATTTGTAACACTTAGTGCTACCCACCTTACCTGCGGGTGAAGAAATGAGGCCTAAAACATTCAGATAGCTTATTATCATTAGGACCCATCTCTAGAAATTAGGATTTTTAAACAGATGGCATATTAGTAATCATTGTTTTCCTCAATTGGCGAAAGACCAAAATACTCCTAAGGAACCACATGGCAAGCATAAATGTACTATGTAGTGAAAGAGTTTTAAGCAACTGCTCTCTTTCCTGTGGAAACAAAACATAGGACATTATAAATCATCAGCAACAAGAAAGACAAGCTTCAAGATGCTCCAGCATCAGAATTTCAGATAGACTACAAAAAGCTTACGAGTCACAGGTAGATCTTAATTTCAGGCTCATCATGAATACACAGAGAAAAACCTATAAGTATTTGAATGGAACAATGAAAGCAACATGTCCTAAACAAGAAAAATTCTGATGACTTTGTATGTGAAAAGTAGGGGTAAAAAGTATGTCGTTGGAATTTGAGCCTGACTCTGCTGCAGTCACAAATATTAGTAGTTGAACCTTTCGGGCTCTAAAAGGACTCAGGATTTTCTTGAGCAAAAGGAAAACCATTTGTTGGAAATAAGTTTTTCAAACTGGTATATAGCAAACTAGGATGAAATGGAAGAAAAAAATTGTGACAAAAAACGCTCATCAACAAACAAGTTTGCTGAAGATGGAGAATCATTCAAGGAATGCCCAAACTCAGATAATCATTTTTGCCAGTTGTCTCCTCCTTGAGCACCATCAATAAAACCCCAAATTTCCAACAAGAACATAGTATACATCTCTCTGCTGACCTGAATCCCTCATCTCTTACCTTCACTCGTTGTCCCTTCCACCTTTAATAACACGAATAAAAACGAGAACAGTTTTTTGAGCTTGTATCTAATTCCCTCAAGTCAACCGACAAGATAGCTGGGGGAATATTATATCCTTGACCTGGCTTTTCATCTCCCTCACCAAATTTAGGTTCCAAAGAGGGCATTTTAGCATTTTGCTTAGTTTACTTGGAAATCAGTAGTGTTCTTTAAGTTACGAAAACACAAAAGAACCAAAAAAAAAAATTTTGTATAGTACAACTACAAAGTTCCATTCACAAAATTTGACATTACAGTAGTATGGGAGAGTATGGGGAGAACTGAATGGTATCACTTTACAGACTAACTCGTAAATCAGATCAGACTGACAAATAAAGTAGGAAAAGAATGAGCAAATTTCCTACCTGAATAAACCATGCATTTGATTGGCTCTCCTAGTCTCTATTGACTTTCTGACTCTAAGACCAGAGTCATCCCTCTGGAGTAAAATCTCTTTCGGATAAGTAAGAGCAAGCTCCCCAAGAGGACCCTTGACTTTCAAATCTTGGCCATCAATTGTTAAGGTAACATTTGAAGGTACTTCAATCAGCTGCTTTCCAATTCTTGATTCTTTGCATTCCACAATTGTCCTCCTTGTCACAAACTTAGCATGTTGATAACCCACAACAGCAATACGGGGTACACACATTCCAGTGAATGGAGATTTCAAATTGCTAAATAAATAGAAGAGTGAAAAGAGTCATAAGAAAGCATCAAATTCACCCATCGTCATCATGTCATTCAGTCAGAAGTAGCAATGAAACAATAGAATAGGAAGGCACGCAAACACTTGACAAAGCATTCACTAATTGCAGTACATACATTGTTAGATTAGAAAATTGCACCCATTATTTTACCAGTTCGGTGAGGAAGCACCAAGTGACGTAGCCATCTGTTGGCTGGACAGGGGAATGTTTGCTGCTGCTGCTCTTGTTGTAGCTCAACTCACAAGGTTACTTTCGTGCATCTACAAATCCAAACATAAATACAATAACTTCAGATATCGATTTCAAAGCAATTAAATAATAGAGCAGAGAAATGATATAATAATATCATCAGTGATGCAAGAGGTAGCCCAAACAATAAATGGGAAATTCAAAGACGAATAAAGAAGAAAAGCAAAGTTAGAAATAGAAAATATAAAAAATAACAATTAAATATTGATAAATGGGATAAAGGCCAACACAAGAAGATACATGTGCAAAAGCGCACCCATGCTAACTCAGGGTTCTGTTGGACCCCCTTTTCCAAAAACAACAAATAGAAATAAAAATAAAACAAAAATATTTTTAAAAATGGTTTTCTAGTTTTTATTTTTTTAATAGACTAATATGAAAAAAAAAAACTAAACGACAACTAGAAAAAGGAGAAAGAGCCCAAAATGTTTGGAAATGCAACAGTTAATGTATGAGTTGCCTTTCGCTATTAGATTCTAGATGTATCTAGCAACTTTGACTTTGAAGATGAGCCAAATGAGTCTTTTTGAAAAAAATAAAATAAGTACTTCAGCAAAAAAATAACTGGATTTATACTTCACACAAAAATAATAATGAGAGAGAAAGAGAGAGAGAGAAAGCTACAAGAAAGAAACAGTCAGAACAAAACCTCATTATACTGGCGAACAGGTAAAGAAGAATTTGAAAAAAAAAAAGGAAATTTAGTATTTCCTTTTCTAAAAAGAAATATCTTCTTTTGACTCATTACCCAATAGAATACTTCATTAAGGTTTTGGCATGACTCTTTTTTGTTGTTTTTCTTTTTCTTTTTTTTGAAACATAAATCTGATTTTTTGCTAAAATATTTCTATTAATTTTCCAAAAGGTTTATGTGTGTCAATTGCAACTTTTGCCCAAATGGACTTATTATTATTCTTAACTTTGAAACAAAATTTTCCACCGTCACTAAACTATTCTAAGGTTTAATTTCACCCACTATACTACATTTTGATTATGAACAGACGAAAAATGCCCCTCCAAATGAAGGGTTCAGGGTTTAATGCCATGATCTTTATCTATTTTAACCGAGAAAATAGACGGAATGGCTTAATTGATCATTTAGTGGGTCAACTGACACAAAAAATAGTATAATGACCTAGATGAAAATTAATTATGGAAAAGTTTAGCGACTACACAAATAAAAATGCTGAAAGTTCATTTTTATTTTTATTTTTTACCCCTGTTAGCCGGCAGGGGCACCAGTATCCATCCTTGCACACACATCACACTGATTCTCAAATCGTCCTTTTTCCGTTCGTTGTTGGATGAGGCATTTCCACAAGCAAGTTCACGACATAGACCAAAGCATGCCATACCTACCTTAGAAGCTATAAGAAGGAGGGCAACGCTAAACAGAAAAGATGGAAGGAAAACCCACAAGAAGTCGTTATTTTACTACCTGTTGTAGAAGCTATAAGAAGAGAATTAAAGACAGGAACAGAAGAGTAGTCAATCTCAAAACATAACCGCACAAATTGGCAAAACAGCGGCATCCACAGAAAGATAAGATACAAAAGGAAAACCAACAACCAGTCATACATTTCACCTACAATGAGAAGGAAATTTAAAAGAAAAAAGAAAAGACGGGGACAAAATGGAGCTTTACAGTAATGCGTTTTGGGTGATGACTATCGGCAGCGACGAAAATATCGTCCTCTCCTCCTGTTCTGGCTGCCCCCTATTGCTTTTCGAGTAAATTGCTTTTCTTTTCTTTTCGGTTTGAAAAGGATAATGGGGAAGCAGAAGGCGAAGGATGCTAATGGAAAGTGGAGTGAGAGGGAGCGAGGGAGTGGAGTTGTGTGTGGTGATGGGTGTACTAGTAATGAATTTGATGAAGCACTTGTAGAGGACGGATAAGGCGCAACGAATTCTGTCTTATATCCCCAAATTTTTTTATATTGCTATTTTTCCTTCATAAATATTATATTTTAGTTCTTGTTTTCTTAAAATTTAATAACTATTAATTCAATAAAAAATAAATACAACAGCTTCAAAAAAGTAATATATAATAGAAAATTAAAAAATACAGCAGAAAATTTATAAAAAAATCTCATTTTTTATGCATTTTGGTTTTTTGAATTTGTTAAATTTTGTGTATTAATAAATTAATAGTTATTGGATCTTAAAAAAAAAAAAGAACTAAAACATGATGTTTATGAAAAAGAAATAGCAATATAATAAAAAATATGACAGAGGATGACACCGGTTGTGAGACAGAAGATTCGTTGCGCGGATCAGGTTTGTGCACCCCGGCTTACTGCGACATGGTCGGTGTGCAAATAAATCACTGCGACCTGGGAGCACTGCAACACTGCACCATGCTTACAATTAAACTAGTGTGAATACCCGTGCTACGCACGGTGCTGACATTATTGAAAAAAATAAAATGGTGAACAAATAAAGGTGAAAAAATTGAACCAACAAAATTTAAATGTAATATCTGTTTAACAATAGTTTGAAATATAATAGAATGTGTATATCATTCAAGAACTGTCTTTTTTCGAAAGATGGATCTTGAAAAAAAAATTAAAATTTATATTAAAAAGGGGAATGATATATTTCTACAAATGAATGTAATTGAATGTTGTTAAAATGAAATACTTACAAATACTAAGCATTCGATTTGATAATCTTTCTTGAATGTGCGAACACTCTTCACACCAATCCACTTTTAGTACGAAAGCCAAAATTGATGATTTAATGAACTATATTGAATTTTGTGAAGTATGTACTACAAATGAAAATGCACGATCTTTGACGATATAAAAAACTGCATATTTATCATGATCACGCAAAAGTATTGGTGATGCGGATGGCTGTCGAACTTGAAGAGAGGCAATATTTTCATTTATTTTATCTAGAAAAAATATATATATTAAATCAAAAATAAATAGTTTTTGTATTTATTTTATGCGTAGTAAGTGATACATTGTATGAGAATTGTTAACAAAAAAATACAATAATTAATATAGAAGTAGCATCAATAGAATTTAATACAATTGTGTTGTAATCAAATGAAAATTACGCACAAATAGAATTGTTATTAGCACCCATAGTTAATGAAGTAATCCCTATATAAATATATTTTGGTACATGTAGACCCCCCAAACCCCGCAAAACCAACCACCACTTATTGAAAACAAACCAATAAATGCACTAAAATGCCTCCCATCTATACCTCAAATTGCACTTTGACCCATGAATTTTGTGCGAAATTATCCCTCTAATTGCTTTTGTCCTTTTCGGCTTTTTCACATGTCGCTAACTGCATCATTCCCTCTGCTATCACTTGTATATTAAAATCAATTTTTAATATTAAATAAAAAGGAATGTATTAGTTTATAATATGTTCATAATGTAGATAAATTATTAAATTTAGAAAAGGGCGTATGTTCTTATAGGCTTCTTTTCTTTTCTTTTTTTTTTTTTGGGAAAATGAGTTTGTTCTTATAGGTTTTTTTTTAATTTTTTGGATACAGAATTGTTTTTCAAAGATTTTGGTCCGTAGTCCCTACTATGTTTAAACCATTTTTTAATATTCAATTCAATATTGTCTTTTAATTTGGCAGCCTCTATAATTTTTAATTTATTCTTTTGGTTTAAGTTCAGTTAGAATTCGGAATTTTTCAAATACCAAGAGAAATCAGATTTTTTTAAGAAATCGCCGTCTTAAGTCAGGTAGAGCGTCGAAATATGAGTTAGGATTATTTCCTTTATGCAATTAGTTTCCTGATATATGGTATGATATATAATTATGTCCCTTGAATTTTTTTTCCATATAGATATCGTTAGGTCTTTGGCATCACTGCTGAACATAATCTAAGCTTAGAATGACGCGTTTTTTCTAATCCAGTGGATGCAAAAATACAAAAATACAAAAAATGAAGGTAATATTGTGATTCAAACTCTAAAAAGTAGGATACCATTCTTCAAGAAGTTTCATGCCTTCTTTAACATCTCAAAAAGATGCAACACAGAACAGTTATTTGAATGCTAATAAACTCTCTTTCTACCAATTTTGAAAGCCCGCCCATTAAAAGTGAAGTGAAAATTATTGCAGTCAATGCAGAGAGAAAATGATAAAAAAAAGAAAGGCTATAATGCAATTTTGCCAAAAGGATTTCTGACAAGATTTTGTAAAAAATTTTCAGAAATAATGGATAATCAGAAAATCAATGCAATATCATTCATGACAAAAAGCAAAGCAAAAGCAAAACATACTTAAAAAGCAGAGGGGACCGACCTGAAAAATTAAGTTGGCAAGAATATACTTCCAATTATCCGCAAGAAGATTGAGTTTTGCTAAAGTCTCTGCACATAATATCTTCCACTACTGCTCATAAAAGAAACAAAATCAATACATTTACAAAATGAATAGAGAATAAAAAACAAATAAGAAACTGAGAGAGAATGGGAGTGAGATAGTGGGAATAGAGAATTTGTAGGAGTGGTTGTAGGATGAGTTAAGATAGTGAGATAGTGGAGGTGAGATAGTGGGAATATTGATGGGTGATAAGGTGGGTTATAACCAACTACATTTTATGTATTAAAATAAATACAAAAATCTAGAAAAAAGAATGAGAAGTTTAGAAGTCATTGAGAGGGTTTCTGCTAAAAACCCCTTCCTGAATACATATAGATATAGATAGATATAGATCCTCCTTTCCAAACGAAGCGTGACAAAACCATTTATTCTTGTACTATCTAACAATCAAATTCCCATGACAAAATAAAGTAATATTATGGTTTAGTTATTAAAATGACAAAAATCCCCCTATCATGAACACCCATGTTGGAAGAAACTATGATGGATTAATTTTTCCTCAAAAAAATTTTTTTTTTTGAATGATAGAGGGCAATATTAAACCTTTTCATTCATTTTGAATGATTCCCATAAGAGCTATTAATCAAACAGTAGCTACATATATTATTCCTGCCCCTGTTTCTATTTTAATTTTGTGTGAGATTGAATGTTCATGCCAAGAGTTAAGTCAATGATGTGAGCCAATGCAACAGTAAGGTCAACAAATTCATTGGTCCTGTGCATGGCTTTAATGCAAACAAGGAAACAAAGGGAAGGAAAAGGCCGAGGAAGAAGAAGCGGAAGCAATACATAAGACGAAGCAAAACAACAAAAGCAAGCTGAAATTCAAGGAAAAGAGATTTGCATGATTACCGTTCTTCTTTTCGATGCATGAAAACCCGGGAAAGCATGTTTAAAGATGTGCAAATCTCGCATGGAGACGCCATTTCGCACGGAGACGGCCAAAATTAATGAATTGCAGATTGTGTAGGGTGAGAGGTGAATCCACCGACCAATAGAAAGAATGGGCAAGGCGGCTGCTTATTTTGCATAGCTTGATTGATGATGACGACGGAAGCAAGCACTGGATAGTGACCAATCTGAATTGAGGGAAAGGGATGGGGAGGGGGGGAAATTAGAAAATGGGCGGTGCAGGGCATGATGCTGATGACGGAGCAAAAGGCAGCAACCCAGCTAAGATGTTCCTTTCCAACACACGGACCACGTGACTTCCGCGTGAGTAGGACGAAAGACCAGCAGATAATTGAAGTACCATTCCCACTTTATATATAAAGTTCTTTAGTATACAATAGGGAATTTCGTCAATTTGGTCCCTAAACATTTTTACTTAAACCAATTTCGTCCTTGATGAAATATTTTAACCAATTTGGTCCTTGAACTAATTTTTTACTTCCAATGTAGGACTTTTCACTGCATTTTACTCAATTTGAGTGGATCAATGGGGGTATAATTGTCACACTGGTTTAATCTTTTGCAATTAACCGACGAAACAAATTAGATTGAAGGTACTCGATAATTACCAACTTTGTCATCCAATCCAAGTCAACCCGGTGGCTTCTTTTTTTTTTTTTTTTTTATAATCATCTCATTTCGGAGCACTGCGAATATTCGTCGTGGATTGAATTAAACCCAGAAATCGAAATAAATCAGCAACACTCAGACATTTCTTTAGCAGGCGAAGATTTACTTGCTGGTACTGGTACTGACTGATAAGTCCATCAAAAATGGTTAAAAAAGAATTTAATAAATAATGGGTTCAGGAAGGAAGGAAGTCAGTTCGTTCATTACAAAGATATTTGATTCCTAATCGGCATACATGCATTCAATCATGAAAAAAGAGATGACATGGGTCGGAGAGTTGAACCCAGAAAGGGGAAAAAAAAAGGGGGGTTGGATGGAGATTAAGGGGGCTTTTACACATATTTCTTCTTCTGCTTCAGCTTCATCTAGCCTGCCTAGTTTTAAGTAGTAAACACCTACCAGTACTCGCTCGGTCTACTGGGGAGAGAAGCATTTTTGAGTTTTTGTACTCTACTACTAAACTAGTAAGTTGTTTTCTAGCAACTAATTACTATTATTAAGCATAGACAGATCCGCACGAGAGAGCCATCAAGAGTATAGCGGCTTGTTCTTCCTCTCTTAATTTCCCCATCAGCTTTCCCGATCTCCGTAGCACCATTTCTCCTCCCAACGCCATTAATTTCATCCTCAGCGATTGCCCCACTCCGCCTCCTTCGTTGCTCTTGTTGCCGCCGCTACTGCTTTTCCTCTTCTTCTTGCCCTTGTCATTTCTACCCCTGTCCAGTCCCAAAAGCTCCCTCCTCTTCTTGTTGTACTTGATCCCGCATGCATTGTACAGTGACTGATGATGCAACAACAACAAACGCTAAGGATATGTAAATAAATACTCCACCAAACAAAACACACACTCTATTATCAAGAAATGCTAAGAGTGGTAGCCTGGAGTATATAGATAGAGATTGAGAGACCATTGGATATTATTTACAAATATATATATATATATATATATAGAAGAGAAGAAGATAATGCACCTTGGGACCAGCTGGACCTCCTCTCCACAGAGGCGTTCTGGTTGTATGGCAATCACTGCAACTCTTCAACTGCTTCGAACTGGAAGCCGAAGGGCTGCTGCTGCTGCTACGTTTTGCATTCTACGTTTTGATTTCGTGGAGGTGATATTATTGTAAAAGAAAGAATATCTGCTTCTTCGAAGAAATAAGATGATTATAAAAAAAAGAAGCCACCGGGTTGACTTGGATTGGATGACAAAGTTGGTAATTACCGAGTACCTTCAATCTAATTTGTTTCGTCAGTTAATTGCAAAAGATTAAACCAATGTGACAATTATACCCCCGTTGGTCCACGCAAATTGGGTAAAATGCAATGAAAAGTCCTACATTGAAAGTAAAAAATTAGTTCAAGGACTAAATTGGTTAAAATATTTTATCAAGAATGAAATTGATTTAAGTGAAAATGTTTAGGGACCAAATTGGCGAAATTCTCTATACAATACTTCCAAAGTTAATAAACTTGGGCCTTATTTTGTCAACTCCAGATATTGTGATTTCTTGTGGCCGGATATCACTTTACTCCAGTCCAACCAAATCATGGTGAACATGATAGGAAAAATAGAATTCAGGATCAATACTGAGTTTCTTTTTTTTTTTCTTCCCTAAAATATTCCACTATCTTTATAAGTCGTGTATCAGATTCCCATGTTTCACTATCAGAAAACATTACATCAATGGGGAAGTAGTAGTCATTATTCAATATGTCAATACAAAACTTGCTCTCATTTTGTCATGGAAGGATTTCTAGCGAGAAGCACAAAGCGATTTTGAACTGTAGACACCCATTATGATGAAATTTAAGCAAGAGAATCACAAACTGCTGCAATCAACTCTCTGCGGTGGTTATGTCAAAGATGACACAACTTCTATTGCACTACCAAGTGGCCACGCCGCTTCAACTAAGGAATTTTTGTACTCAACTTTTTTCACCAAAGCAATCTCCTGCCAAGGATCAAGGCCTGCTTAATCGAAAAAGAAACCCATTAGTATTCACTGATCAATATTATAGGGCGGCAACGGACGCTGACATAGAGTTGAATAAGTAAATCGCACCAAACCCATCTACAAGCAAGGTGAACTGATACACAAGATCCATGCACAAGTACGGTAGGTTATTAGGCTCCACACGAGAATATGTAGATTTGGCATCTTCAAGCCTGGTTTGACAAGCACGCTTAGCAGCTTCCTCAAAATCAACTGGATGAACTTTTGCAACATGAGCATGTGGATCAACAAAACCAGCCTACGAGGGAATGTTAACACGGTCAACATGCTGATATAGTGACACAAAGGTGGGGTACAAATTTTCACTGCCTACTAGAAGACCAATTACTCTGAGTTGCATACTCCTCCAGAAATATTTACACAATGGACACGTACCTCAGCAGCTCTGTCGAAGAAAAATGATGCAACAAAGAGATTCTTTTGACCATCCCCACCTCCACCATTCCATACCCCACCAAATGTGCATTTCATGTGGGTGCACGCTGAATCATTTACTTTGAGAGCTTTAAGAGCTACTTCCCTACATCCATTAAAATTGGAACCAGATGGTGACGCAGACGATGGATATTCTTTCCCTCCATATTTGTAAGACTCTACAAAGGAGCAACTCATAGTTAGTACTTGAATGTTGGCTTCAGTAATTAGTTCTTCACAAGGAGAGGGTTTTCTTTGCCTACCAACATTAACTATTGATACCTAGTAGAGAATTGAAGCAAACACATGCTGAACGGAAATTGCAGATTAGTTAATTATGTGGAAACAAACACGCAAGAGCAACATACCTTTTTCTTATGATCTGGTATAAGAGTATTTCAAATTGCAAAACCTATCAATTCCCTCTGACCTAACTGGAAAAGTACTAAAAATGTACTTTTGACATGTAAACAAAAGATTTCAAAATTTGTGGTTCCATCTTTTCAAAATTTCTGTACAAAAGGGAAAAGATACATCTGGTGCCATTCTGATATGCTGCAATTTTAAACTTTGCTTGAAATTAAAAATTATGCCTAGTTGACCACGCAAAATTCCAAGTAAGCAGTTATTTAATACAAGGTTCAGGTTTCTAGTCTAAGCCCAGGACACCAAAACGCACCTGATAGCAAAGGCTAACTTTAGATGAACCTATGGGGAACATGATAATAGAAACAACAAAGCATGAGTAGCAATGCATGACCATGCTCCTTTGTAATCCATTATGAGCAATTACAAAGAATGAATGCCACGGTTTTGAAATGCACTATTTGAATTTCACTTCCACTGTACTAAGAATTTTAGTGCCCAGCGGCTTAGCCAATAGGAAACTTAACCATCATATACACAAATCCTTTTTTCTCGTGATCATATACCCTTCTTGTCCATAAAAAAAAAAAGGCTGCCTATTCTTTCAGTCTTGTCTAACTTCACATAGAATGTAACTAACAGGCAGAAGTCCATGGGAACGCCAAGAAAGAAAAAGATACAACATAGGAAGAAAAAAACACTTCCAAAAGGAAATCGGCCCTGGAGATGCTAAATGCAGGCCATACCATCAAAGCCTGCCAAGATGCATGGATTACTGGATTCTACACCAGCCTTCAATATCTCAGCACGAGCTGCTAGTAAGCCATAGTGCAAGTAACTGTATATGAGATCCAATAAAAAAAATGTAAAAGAGATGAACCTAGAAGAGAGGTGTAAAGTAATAAAATAAAGAGCAGCATGTAACCTAAAATCAACATATCTGAAGTTTACTTTAACTAACTGGTTAATACAACAGAGGGTTCTATCCCAATGAAAGATGCCAGAAATTGTATGCTATAGATCATTGGCCAAGGATAAGCAATACCTGTGCACATAAAGGTAATATTTTGTCCCCTTCAGATACATTTCCTGGACATAGGCATCCTCTCCATCTGGTAATTTTGGAGCCTTCGCAGCATCTGATTCTGAGATAGCATAAGCCATTTGGACAGATCCACCACCAAGATCCACCACGCCGACAGTACGGGAATATTTTTTTCCCAATTTCCCTGAGAGATAGTTGATGGTCACCTGCATAGGCACAGAATAGTTCAAAAGCAGGCCTAAATCCTTCCCACTGCATACTTTCTCTTTGAAGTTATACATAATTTTGACTCATGACAAGCAGGTCTATGCAATCTTCAGTTAGCTCCTTCAAGGAAGCTCAGAAATCGAAAGCAGGCTCAGAAAATCTGGTAAACAACACTATGCCAGCCTTACTAAAATGCCGAAATGCTCGGTATCTTTTATTGCAGCACAAAAGCTGCAGTAGTATTGCAATAACAAACTTAGGCATACAAACAGGCTTCCTTACAGAATGAGATGATCCAAGTCCAGCCTACTAGAGCAAAATCTTTACAAAGTAAAAAAGTTGCTTCAGTTGTGATGCAAACCCTTTGGGTACGTTTGAAAAGGCTTTGATCATTGTCTGGGAAATGACTTAGGTCAGAATAAAGTTAATGCCAACATTGGTTGCTTTGCCTTATTGTTGTGGACATAGTACTTGGCTAATTTGCTCAAACTCTTAGAAATTGATATGATTTGAGTATCAATTATGAGATATATACTCAAGTAATGATTTTTAGTAGCTAGAAAAGCCACAATGAAGTTTGTATGTAAACTGACACTTCAATTTGCAGTCATTGTTATAAGGAAAGGCCTACCATTCAACAGCCCATCACTGAGTAAATGTACACGTACTCTGTGAACAGAAGATAGAGGAGAGCATTATGCGATTATGTGAAAACAATTTTTTACCAGAATTTCATGCCTAAGGAACTCTAGTGGATTTCCTAGAAACTGTTTTTCTTCTTCTTGTAACTACAGAACCATTTTAGTCGTGTTTTTTGTCTAGATTTGTCAATCAAGCGCTAGATTTGCCTAAGTTACACTGTATATTCACATGAAATCAACCAGACAATACTTTAGAAAGCAAAAAATTCAGACGTTCTAAATGTTGCTGCATCAAACCAACGGCCTCTTGGGCCGTTGGCCACCACAAAAGACTCAAGTCTTTGTGGAGTGAGAGGTCAAGGGTTCAAACCTTGCCTTCCATCACATTGCCACTACATGTGGCTTCTCCAAATCCATACGGGTGCACAACACACCTGTCTGGTCTAATAGCGGTTTAGTCATAGTCAGTTCCCCAATTGGCCCAGTTGGGCCTCCCCCCTAGAATAGGCTAGAGTAGGAGTAGAAGTAATGTATATGCTACTGATTGGCAAAAATAATGTTAATGTTGCTGCATCATGTTCCTAGAAAAGTGCAGCATTCAAGCAATAGTACATTGAAGATTCAACAAATAAAGAATAAAATTTGAAGATACAAAAAACGATTGGCTCTCAACCATGAGAATGATTAATTCCATGATGCTACAGGGGATCGAGTGTTAATTTAGGAGTTGCACTTTCTTATTGAGCTAACCAGAACACAATCCTTCTACCACTAAGTCTGGCATATTGCCTAAGAATCCTATGGTACCAAACTTGATGGTTCGAGTACAACAGAGTCATAACTTGTGGCACTTTTCTCTATACCATAACCAAAATCTTTACTTCTCACAAAGAAGTTAAAGGAATGCTTTACTACAAGCTACATATGGTTTCTGCAATTATTTTTCCCAAAAAGCTGGTATAGGGGGAAAAAATCTCAGGTTGCTGACCAAGTTCGTGAATGGTAAAGATAAGGAGCATTGAGAAAACTTATTCAGCGAAGAGTCCATAAGGCAATGTGAAAGGTTAAGTGCACACTTAAGACGATCTAAGTTATAGGCATGTAGCAGTTAGATTGGACACAACTTCTATAGAGTACTATTCAACTATCTTATGAGACAAGATGTTGAGCCACAGCAGGTGTGTCCTTGCATAGATACATATAAGACGATTTTATTCTCTTTATTGCAGAATAACAATAACAACATTTGCAAGGGACATGCCATATCTATTAGAGTTAGGGTGCGCTTGATAAAACTGAAGTCTGAAATCTGAAGTCTAAATCCATTAAGTTATTGAATTATTAAATATAAAATCTAATACATTTGAGTATATATCACATTCAGTGATAAGTGAATAGCTAATCACTTAATTTTGGAAACAAGTTTTGCCTAGAAAATTCAGTGCCACTTAATTAATTCAAATGCTCAATATTTGGTTATCAAATGGTCCGAATATGTTAAGATCTGAATCCATTAAATTTAAGTGTTGAATTGAGTTATCAAACAAGGCCTTAGACAGGAAAGAAGAGGAAGACCGCAAAAATCACAAGAAGTTCAAATGGAAAAATTTAGCCCTCTTTTTAGAAAGGCAGCCGCTGTACATGAATAGACATGGAAACAGGACTGATAAAAACAACCCTAAATAATTAGAAAAATGGTAGCTGAGTGTTCAATGTGCAATAGCTGGTTCAAACTCATTCACAGGATTGAGGGAAGCCAATACCTTTCAGCCCAATAGTTATTATAGTGAAAAATGACATGGTTAATGATGAGTATGGCTTCTCCATTTATCACATGAAAAGTTTAACTTGCAAAATATTCATGGGGTCCACAAATAGTAGGCCAAATTACACAGCCCTTCAAAAAGATTTAGCATAACTGCAGAGCTTACCAGTCAGTTTTTCCAAGGTTCTTGTAGACACTAATTTTCTGTGCATAAATCCCCATAAAATAAGTAGCGCATTGGTTTTGGTTTTCTTTAAGAGCATTTGAACTTTCATACCGGGATAGTTTCCTTATTTACTCGCCACAGGCATGCTCATATGTTGATCACAAGAAAATAAATGCAACTACCGTCATGATGCAAGGATTTGAGTTTTGCTCAAAGTCAAGTTTGCAGACAGAGTATATGCTTGTTAAGAACAGCCTAATATAAGGCGCTATTTTAGAAAACTTGAGAGCTATCTGGTGCTCCCATGCCTTTCGACGTCTATCTTAGCAAAAAATGTTCTTCTCTACACAAAAAAAACAACTGGTTGTCTGTGCAACCCATAGCAAATCTAACTTAAGCTTTCAAATTATACATATTGGCTCCAATCCATGAATAGGTATGGCAAGAAAAAAATTGATTTCTTCCATAAACAAAATAAGCCCTAGGCTTCAAGCGGTCCTATGAATCCAAGCTAAAGAATGAATTATCATCCGCACCAGTGATAAGAGAAAGTGCAAAATGAAGTTGCACGAATAAATGACACGGCAACCTTCTGTATCCAATAAATCATCATCAAGAAAAATAAATAAATCAACAAAGGAATACAACATACCCACTGATAAGCACCTTCCTGATTGCCATCAATAACTGTGACCCAATCTGCCTTTGACGTGAGGCTGCTTTTGTTCTTTAAAAAGTCCCTAACCTGGAAGGGGAAATTTAGAAATATAAAGAAGAAACATTAATAGTTAGCAGTACTGAAATGTCAGAGGAAGGCATTTTCTGAGAGACAGAGGTAGCAAGGAAGAAGGCAAGCTTACCGCTTGCAAAATCCTGTCAGAGGCATCTCCTTCCAGTTGCCTTAGACCTGCAGTTGCCTATGTAGGCATCAGTATCAGCATCACGATCGAGTTGTGTGCAAAGGACACAATCACAGTAAGAAAAAAGAGAAAAAAAAAGTTATTATTTACAATCGAACATTGGAAATGGAGATACTCTTACCCCAACCCTGACCGGTGTTTTTTGACGCAATTCTGGGGGAACAACAGCTTCGGCCTTCTGGAGAAGCTCCTGCAAGGAATTGGCTGCAGCTTCCGGGTCATTCGCAAATGCACTGAGACCCGGTTTTTTCTGACAAATCGTAACCACAAGAAGTCAGTCCACTTTCAAATTAGAGCTAATAGCAGGAAGTTGTTTTTAATTCGTACTAGTAGCTAGTAGGTAAGGTAACACACGTGATGACGGTAGGTAAATGTAGAAAAGGCCAATTGCAACAAGTCGAAAATCCAAATTGGTGAAAATACACTCATAGACAGAATGCCTAATTTACCTGTTCGAAAAGTTCAAGATCTTTACCGATGGGGACAAGATCCAGGTGGGAGTCAAAGCAGAAGACGTGAACCCGACTGCCAGAGCTGCCAGCGTCGAAGATGACAGCGTAGGAGCGCGCGTTGGCATTGTCATTGGCATTCATGGGTGAAAACTTGCGAGGGAGAGAATCGGAAGGGGAGCGGGCAGGCATTAGAAAGAGGACAATCGTGACGAGAAGAAGAGGGAGGGAAATGACGAGGAAGACACCTCGATACCTCTGGATCTTGTCCAAAAGGGAATGATAATAGTAATCAGGCTGCTGCTGCCTGTTCCGTTTTAGCATCTTCTCCATTGGAGTGGAGCTGCCGTTGTTGTTGTCCAGGTGGTGCTGCGGTTGCTGCTGCTGCTGCTGCTGCGTCTGCGCATCCAAAAGCTCCGCGGCCGATGGAGACCGGTATCGGATCTGACCGTTTCCGCCCGCTGCCTGATTACCTTGCACCGACTCCAGCTCTTCCAATCCTTTTTTTCTCCCTTTTAATTAATTAAGGGGACGACGTATGTTGAGAGAAAAAAATGATAAATAATAATAATGCACTTCTATCCTTTCCTCCTCCTCCTTGATCTTCTTCTTTTCCTGATGAGATGATTGACAATCAGAGGAGTACGTATCCGTACTCCCAAGCCCCCCAAGTGGAAAGATTGCCACTTTCTTTTATTTATTTATTTTTTGATCAGATCAATCAACTGAATTCAGCAATGATTTGGAAGAGTCAGTAGTACTCAATTTGATCGACTACTAGTAGTGTTTTTCAAACAGAAAAATACTACTGTAGCAGCCAAATTACCTCTGTATGTTATAGTAATTTATAACCAATTCAACAGATGGATTGATGAAACCGGCCTCCTCCTCTCACCTCTCCCCCTCTCTCAGAGGAAGTTGATCGGATCTGACAGAAAGCGATCTTTCCTTCCTCCACAAACACTATCCCTTTGCTTATATAGCACCGCCACCCACCTTCAGGATGTTAATAGGGGAGGGGGGGAAGGCGGAGGGGGTGGATACGGCTGATACTGCGCAAATCTCATGCAATTGCAAGCAACCACTCACAAATTTCCACATTTCAAAATGGCCCTGCATTTCTCCGTGAGAATTGAGACTCACAAATAAGTCCTTTTTTTTTTTTTTTTAATGACAGCTGCAGTAAAATTTTTTGAAAAACAACCTAAATAACAGTATGGACCATAATGGAGCGGGTTTCGTTCTTGCTCTGGTACTCCCTCCGCCAGAAGCACTTGCCTCCTCCATGTCATCCCTATTCTCAAATTTTAAAGTCCAATTTTATTATAATTGGTTACGGAATATTTTCTTTGTTTTAGTGCAATTGATTGATATTCATAGTGTATTTATTTGGAATTAGAATTTTGAGTTACGGACATTGCACATACTCAAATAATCCTTTTTTCTGAAAAGAAAGATAATCAAATTGAGAAGCTTATGAGGCAATAAATGTCGATACATATTTTGACATGGTAAGTTGGATGCATTTAGCAAAAAATTTCCAACATACCCTTTAGATAAATTCTTAAATTCATTTTTTGGAGGTAAAAATTAGGAAAATTCACCAATATCATCCCCGAACTTTTACATTAAAACTAATTTAGTCATTAAAATTTTTTTTGACAAATTTAGTCCTTCAACTATGTTTTTCATTCCAATGTAGAACTTTCACAATAGAGCCACCATATTTTATCACTTTCTCCCAGCCAAGCAGGGGTATTTTTGAAATATCTAGTTAATTTAGCAACGCAAATGATTAAAATGAACAAGAAAGAAACAACAAGCAGAAAACTTCTTCAAAGAAGCAACATTTTGCTTTTAGAAACTATACAAGATTTTGCTTCTTCAAATGAGTTTTTTTTTTTTTTTCCCCAAAACAGCAACACTTTATTAATAGTCTAACCTAGATTATTACATAAGAGGTGGGCAACCGCCCTTACAATCTGCTTGTGCTAACTCAAGCAGTCAGACTGGGAAGTCATCCTTCCATTCAGCAGATCCTTTCAAGTTTATAGCCATCTTAGCTAATGTATGACTGACAAAGTTGTTTATCCTTCTAATGAAGGTGAAACAACATTCACCAAAGTTGGACTTTAATTTCCTAATATTAGAAGCTACTGTTGAAATGATTACATCATCTTCCTCTCTATTTATCCCATTCACTACCTGCATACAATCTATTTCGAATTCCATTCTTCTCCACCCTTGCTGTTTTGCCACTAGCATAGCAATTCTTAGCGCTATTGCTTCCTCTAGCTTTGGATTTGAGCAACTTGTGTTTGGTACTGCCCAAGCTCCTAGAACCTTTCCTTGCCAGTTCCTCACAACCATTCCCCAGCCTGCTTTATCTGTTTTTTGGTGTAGAGCTGCATCATAATTCATCTTGACCCAATCCTTCCTTGGTCTCTTCTAGCCACTCAACACTTCTTTTTTACTCTTGCTATATTCCTCTATTTCCATCTCTGCTTCCTGAGCTTCCTGGTACTTCCTCCACTTCAGTATCGTTTATTAGTTTCTACCATTGGGTCACTTCCCTTGTCATTAAACTGCCTCTCGTTTTTTGATTTCCAGATTTGTCATAACAAATTTATAGTCAGAACAAGACTCTCTTTTCCATTTTCCTTATTCGTAGCATCTTTCAATTCTTCCCACCAATGCCAAAATTTATTCTTGTAAGCTTCCAGACCCTCCTAGCTTAGTGGAACAGATTTCCAGATTGACTTGGCTTTGTTACAAAAAAACAACATATGTTCAATGGTTTCTGAATTTTCCCCACAACATCTCTTTTTGAACATCTCCTTTTTTGAACATTTGCTAATTGACTTGGCACATATGATCTCCTTTTGAACATCTTTCCCTTATAACTATATTCACTGGTAAAATACCTTGCAGGTATTTTCAGATGAAATGCTTCAGTTTATGCTTCATGTTCAATCCCCATAAAAAATTCTAGCTCTGTGTTGCACATTTCCTTCTGCACCAGTCCTATACTGATCCATCCTCCTTTTTCTGCTTTTTGCCAACCTATATCTTGATTTGACTTATAAACCCCAGTACTAGACATTGCCTAGTATATTTTGTCTATCATAGGCTGCATACTAAACGGGATTCTCATTATCTTCCTCCCTTCCTCGTCTTCAAACACCTGAGCAATCAGCTCTTTCTCCCACTTCCCATCTTTGATAAGCTCACTCACTCTCTGTACTTTTATACCCTCCACATCCCTAGTCTTGACTCTTCCATCTTTAGTTTCTGGAAGCCATTTATCCTCCCATATGTTTATTGATTTTTCGTTTCCCACTTGTTTCCTTATTCCTTCCTCTGGTAACTCCTTTGCAGTCAAAAGACTTTTCCAACATCATGAATCAGCACCAAAACTCTTTTTCTTCCAAATTGATGTTCCTTTAAAATATCTAGCTTTCATTATTTTACTTATCAGTAAGTTGGGCCTAGTCAGAATTCTCCAAAGCTACTTTGCTAACAATGCCAAGTTAAACTCATGTAACTCTCTAAAACCTAGTCCTCCTTCTGCTTTGACTTCTGTCATCCTTCCCCAACTCAACCAGTGAACTTTATGTTCATTTTTCTTCTGTCCCCACCAAAACCTTGCCATTTCTAAACAAATTTCCTTGCAAAAAGCCTTTGGCAAAAGGCAACAGGACATAACCCCAGATACTTACTTTGCAGAACCTACTTCATTCCTTGCAGCTCTTTCATCACCCCTTCTTTTTGCCTATCTTTCTCATTCCTACTGAAGAACAGTGTTGATTTCTTTGCATTGATCAGCAGACCAGAAACTCGTTTGTATACATCTAGTATTAATGTTTTCTCTCCATTAATGTTTATGGAATAGGTTACACTAGTAACACACTTCATAATCCATTGAATCCACCTAGGACAGAAATTCATTTTCAACATTATTTTGGCCAAAAACACCCATTCTACTCTATCATAAACCTTAGATATATCTAGTTTAATAACCATGTAACCATCTTTCCCAGTCCTTTTATTTTTTAAGAAGTGAACGCTTTCATAAGCAATCACAATATTATCTAAAATCTGTCTTCCAAGAACAAAGGCAGATTGGGAATGACTAATGTAGCAGGTTAAAACACTCTTGAATATGTTTGTAAGCACTTTAGAGATGATTTTATAGATAATATTGCATAAACTAATAGGTCTAAATTCTGTGATTGTACTAGGGGAGTCAGTTTTAGGAATAAGGCTTATCAAAGTCTCATTGATAGATTTAAGAAGATGATCAGAATCAAAGAAACCTTGCACTGCATTAACAACACCAGTCTTAATAATTTGCCAAAATTTTTGGAAGGACAAAAGGGACATACCATCTAGCCCTAGAGGCTTGTTTGGTTGCATCGAAAAGACTGCATGACTAATTTCCTGATCTGTGACTTTCCTAGTCAGCTTCCTGTTCATCTCAACAGTGATAGTTTATGGGATTTGTTGCAAAATTCTTGCAAAGTCATTTGGTTTTTTTGAAGTAAAAAATTGTTTGAAATAGTCAATGATCTCCTATCATGTTTTCTCTTCATTCTCATGCCAATCTGCACTCCTTTTCTTTAGCACACTAATCCTATTCATTTTCCTCCTTCCAGTCACTCTTGCATGGAAATAGCTGGTATTCTTATCCCTCTCCTTTAACCATTTTACCTTGGCCTTTTAGCTCCAATATAATTCCTCTCTTTTATAAGCATCAGCCAGCATCCTCTTAAGACCAGCTAACTTAATTTTGTAACCATTAATTTTACTCTTCTTAACCTCTTTAATTTCATTTTTAACCTGTTCTATCGATTTCTTAGAGCTGCAAAAGCATCTTTTACTCCAATTGAGCAAATCCATTCTAACTTTTTTTATTTTATATTGAACTTTGAATAGCCTAAACCCTGTTGATATTTTCTCCAAGCTTTCTCTATTACCTCCCCTATATCCTTTTGTTGTAACTACCTTTTATCAAATATAAACCTTTTTTTCCACCTCTTTTCCACTGGCTTAGTATCCAATACCAGTATACAATGATCCAATGCTTCAGTTTCTACATGTATACATTTTGCATTTTCAATCTTTTCTATCCAGCCTTTAGTTCCCAATATCCTATCTAACCTCTCTTTCACCTTTTCCTTATTCCTCCAGTTATTCCTCCAGGTCCAAGGAATTTCTTCAAATCCAATATCAACCAATTCATTATTATTATGAAGGAGTTAAAATCTTGGAACCTCACCTCAGCTCTTTGTTTACCTTTCTATTTTTCACTATTAGAGGTAATATTATTTAGATATCTCATTATAGCCCAGTACTTACCTCACATTAAGCTTCTTCTAGTTATAACTTTCCATTGTTCTCTTTTAACACCTGCATATGAACTAGCATAGGCACATATACACCACCACTGCTTCACATTATTCAAATAACTTTTTTTCTTTGTTCTGACAAAAACACTAATGAAGGAGAATGGAGTCTAATGACCTCCTTCGGTTGGGAAACTGTCAAGGGACTCTCCACACCTTGGCAGTTTCACACCATAGCCTTTATTTAGACTTTGAAACTCCATTTAGGGTGGACTCCAACCCCTCAGAGAGTTCCATCCAGTCACTATTTCCATTCTTAACTCTGATTTTTTTCAATTTTCCTTCCTTAATTGCTCCTCTTCTTCTTCCCAATCCATAATCTCCACCTTTCTTTTCCCTTTCTCAGTTCTAACAACTTCTTTATTGGTCTCTATCAGTGGTTTTCTCCTACTCACCTCCAGCACCAATCTTTTCCGCGTCTCACTTGCCATTTGATTCCCTTTAGTCCTACATTTTACTTTCTCAACTTCCTTTTACCTTTCCCGACCTTAGGTGTTATTTCACATTCCCTCCCTTATATTATCTTCCTAGCATTCTTGTCCTCATTATTCATACTCTTGACTTCATCAATCCACATCAAGTCATCTGATCCTTCCACTGTTTCCTCAACACTTTCTGCATCCTGCTGTTCCATTTGCTTCATTTCCCTCCTGCTCCCCTTTTTCTCTACTATGTTCCTACCTCCTGCCTTACTTATTCCCTTTTTCCCCCACCTCCTCTCTCCCTTCCTATCTTTAATCACTTCTGTACCCCTCTCCTCAAATACTCTTTTCTCCTTTCTACTCATCAAAATAGCATCCGTAGTCATCTCTTTCTCATAAGTTTGTTTTAGTTTCTCGTCCTTATGAAATTCTTCTGTATAGGTTAACAACAACTTATGTTCATCTCTCTTTGCATCCCTATTGTCCTGAGTCTGGTGTCTCTCTTCTTTAGCACCTCCAGTCCTATTTCCATTCCTATTTCTCTTATTAGAACTTCAAGAGTAGCTAGCTCTCAATCAATTTTCATACTGTGGTTCCCTCTCTATAGTAATTCCTTTTTTCACTATAATTATGTTCATTATGATCAATCATTCGACAATAAAAACAATAATCTAGATATTTTCATATTTAAACTCAATCCACCTCTTAATGCCATTACTATTAATCATAATCCCTCTAGGTAATAGAATAGAAAGATCAATTTCAGCCAGAATTTTTGGATGTTTACCTTCCTTTCCTTTGCTCTACGGAATCATCACCTCATTTACTTTTGGAGATATGCTGCCAATCTTCCTACCTCTTTCTTCGTGACCCAGTGCAAGGGTATATTCTAGATCTGAACTCAAATTAATCTTTTACTCAGAGCTTCTTTATCCTCCTCCAAACCAGCTTTCCACTGCAGCAGAATTAATGGTTGACCATCATAAATCCAGGGCCTTCTGTTCATTACTAACTCTATATCCTTCTCCTTCTCAAAAATGAAATGGAACAAATTACGTCCAATTTTTATTACTTTCAGATTCTTCACCTGAAACCACATACTGTTCACGAAGCTTTCAAATCTGCCAATGTTAGCTTGCTTTTCCCCCTAAACTTTGCCTACCAAGCTCAGTTTGCATTCCAGAACTCCTTTAGCCATGTCCACCTCGTCCAAACAGACACCATCTCTTTCCTCTTTGGAAAGTTTGAACCTTCTTAATACCTCTTCAATATTCTCCATAGTCCTTCCCATAGATCTCATGCTGCGATTTTCAGTATGCTTCCAGTCCAGCACAGATCTGAAACCAGTGCGAGTCCTTGTAATGCCTCCCAAGTAGTTCCCAGCTCAAGCTAATTCTAATTCAAAACAAACAAAACAAAACAAGATCTAGATTAGAAGCAGAAACAACTAAGGCTAGCAAAACATGAAGAAGAAGAAAATTAAGACTAGATATGAAAACTATCACATCTTATCCAATAAGAATTGGAAAGTAGAAATAGTTATGGCTACTTTCACTAGAAATTCCAACGCTAATCCAGAGATAATGGATGAAAT